CAGGAACTGCCAAAACAGTCAGGACCCTTTTGGACTCCTTTTACGGTCAAGCTCTTGGGGGAAAGTACCAAGTGTGGTATGAAGGAGGGAGAGATTTGCCTAATGTTTGGAGAATGTGTTTTTAAACAGGCTCAGAAGAGCTTCATTTACTTCATATAACTAGATAGGCTTATGATTGAGTTGATTTGGTACTCAATTGCTGGATAATTGTTATTTCCTGCAGTGGGAGGAGCTACTGATTATATAGGCAGGACATGCAGCTCCTCTTGAGTAGCATAGTGAGTCAGGCCATGATAGTAAGAAGACCACTGTAGCGATGGGCCAACCGAGGCCTTGTGAAACACTAAAACGTTTAGAGCAGATGAGTCGAATTTGTATCGAGCTTTTGAAACAATCTGACACCCGTCTCTACAGTGACACCTTCTGGCCATTTTTGCTATGTCACATGGTGATAATGCTAGTTTTTTAAGCAACGCAGATTTTCCGCAATTCTAACCAGTTCTTAAAAATAACCATAATTAAGACATTTTGGAGAAATGTCCATACAACAAAACAAGAAAAACTTTGACTGTAACAAACAGCGTGTTATCAAATTCAATGCACAATTTATACAATCTACAGAGAAGAGGCTAATGAGCTTATTTTCATAACCACATACGTGTTGTGGATATATACGTAACCACAGTGCCCCATTAATCTTTGTGTTTTATCTACAGTGGAATGACGTGTGAATGAATGTAGCTTGTTATGCTTATGAAAAATAAAGATGAATAAGAGAAAATCAAATGCTACGTAAAGATTTTTATTCAAAAATATCAATTTATTTAGTTTAGTTTTAGCTTCTTCTTTTGCAAATTGGAAAAAATAGAAAATCATCACATACATGTCTACATGAAACGCTTGTTTCATGTAGACATGTACACAACGGGATTTCTTTTTTAAATAAAGGTGCAGGTTTACAACTTGGCACTAGACTAATGGTTCATGTTACACATGAGCGATGTATCTTTAGACCGCTACGGTGGGATTATCTGTTGCCCTGCGGGTACTATGGGTTTCGCTAACTGAGCTGTCAATAGGGTCCCACAAACTGCCCTTTGCTGTGATTGCTGCTGCTAACAATAATAATAATAATGATGATGATGACTTTTAAGCTTTCTGAGAGTTTTCGGTGTCACTGGGTTTTTTCTACACACTGTCAATCAAGGTTAGAAACAACAGGCAAGCCGCTTGTCAAAACTGGGGTCAAAAGCTCCAAAAATAGCCACGTCATGTGATCAAGTGACGTGGGCATTTTGAACCACAAAGCAGGCTTTCAAAACATCTGTGTAAGCTCAACACAGCGTCAAAACACCAGCATCGGGCATCCCGTGTCTGGTTGCAGCTCCTCTTGGGGAGTGTAGCCTGTCAGGCCCATGATGGTGAGCAGGCCACAGTGGCTGTACTGCCAGGGGCCTAACTGAAAGGGAGTTAAGGCTGGTGCAGAATTGTTTCGTCAGTTGTTAAGTTTGGTTTTGGTTCATTATCATCCAGTTTTTAGCCCAGTCACTGTTACATTCTGCATTAATAATAAACTTAAATTTAAGCCCTTTCCTTAACCGGGTTCACTAGATTTTGCAGATCCTGCTGAGTGGTGTGTAGGTAGATGGCTCATCATCAATCATTCATACTGACATTTCCTTTGATCTAATGTCTCTCTGTGTGTTTATTTATACACACACTCTGTGTGAGGGTGTGTATTTCTCTGTGTGAGCGTTGAGCCGAGCCTGCACGACTGCAGTTCCATGCCTGTGCTAAGGTGGACGTGTGGTGTGTGCATTTGCGATGGTGTGTGTCCGAGCTGTGTGCGCAGGAGAGAGGGTTTAGACAGGTGCCGTGCTGCAGGTTTAATGACCTGAGGTGTGGCTGACTTCTCTTTGCCAATCTGAATCTCTTCCCTGTGCCCAACAGAGTGTGACACAGTCTGAGCGCATGGCTGGTGACAGGTGGGGGCAGGTGGGGGCCTCGTGACAAACTAAGGCAGAAGGAGAAAGTCTGTGTATTTCCTCGGGCTGCATCTCCAGCTGAATGCTAAGTGTTTGAGAAGAGTTCTTATACTGACAGGCAGCAGCTGCCAACATGCACCTTGAAAGCTTGACTAAGCACGTGCTCACAAGCATCATACACGACACTCACACGCGTGCACTATAGCAACAGAAGACAGAGGCCATGGCTGTGTTTTCATAAAGGCTTAACTCAACCACACCATCATCCAAATCCCATCCCTACTCTTTCCCTTTCTCTGAATCTCCACTCCTTGTGGTAACTGAGACCGCAGGCATGCCTCTAATAGCTCCCCCAATGCACCAGCACAAATTGGTTTTCACTCACATGGCTTACCCCCTTCCCGCTCCTCTCCTTCCATTGCTCTCTGTTCCTTGCTTTATTTCTACTTTTCTTTATTTTGTCCTCATCTCCTCCACCCCTGCTCCTGCTCCCATCCAGCAGGGCCCACCTGTCAGCTTGTTTCTTTCAGTCAGTCAGTCTTTTCCCAACATAACTGCTGATGTAAGTGCCTGCAGCTCCCGCCCATATGACTGCATAGTGGGAGATGAGCCCTACGTTCAGCTAATGGCTACCAGTAGCTTCAAAACAATATCAAATTGCATTGACGTTGTAGTAATACATGAAATATGCATCTTACTGTCATCCCGTCTGTTCTCAGAAGCCTTTCATGTCTGGCTGTCAGCCAGAGCGTTTCTCAGAGGGAGCTTTGTGTGTTTTAGCAAATTGCAAGTGGCTTTTTATGCTTTGAATGATGACGCGGGTGTCATTCAGAATACATAAGTGGACAGTGATTGATTCTCATTGAACTCAGGATGTGCATGTGTATGTGTTCCATCGATTGGTGGTCAAGTCCACACATGACTCTAATCATCTAAATGATACACAACACTGAAAACCTGTTTTCTCCACATATACATTTTTTCTTTAATTTAAAAGAGCAACGTCTTATTTTCAAGAAGTACCTCCTTAGCCACATAAACTAGTTAAGGGGGAGTACACAGGCTGTCAGAAGGGACAGGGTGAACATGTATTGCCTTAGAAGTTCTCAGTGTGATAATCGCAGGCGCCACTAAGCCTCCACAATTTGATTGGGGGGTGTGAGGGATGTGTAGAGGACATTTATCAGCATGACACAGGACACAATGCTCTTTGTTTGATTGGTCAAATTAGTGGAAGCTCATTTGCTTTCACTGCAAAATCCTTTACAGGGCTTTTCTGTTGTGTTAATTAAGCCGGAGCAAGAATTCTGTATGCCACTTGCATACTGGGTTTGCAAAGAAGAGAAGGAGATCGTTGTTATTCCTCTCTTTCTCCTCAGAGGCATTGTAGTTGGGTTCTCTTTTTTTGGGCTTTTTTTGTGATTCGCACCAAAGATGAACTTCTTAAATATATATTTGCTAAAATTAGTTTGGTTTAATTCTCCTCTGACAATTAGCTCGGCTGAATGCAAATTCTCCAGAGTTTTTCCTCTGTGGGAGCTGGAGTATTGCCAGCACCCAGTGTTTTGTTGTAGGAGAGATCAGACTTCCTGCAGCAGCCCTCTGATTTTGTCGGATGATGAGAGAATTAGGGTTGTACTAAGTCCGACAATTGCTTTTTCTCAATGTGGGGACAATTTCTGTTGACTTAGGAATTTGCAGTTTTTATATAAGCCTTTAAAAATAAAACCCTTTGAGAGCAAGAAAAGCATTCTCCTCGGGTCTCCTGGGTTAAGTGAGTCCTCTGGTGTTTTTTTTAGCAAAACAGTTTTTCCTGTAATGTTGATTACAAGTTATTGTATGTATGGGGGGTTTTGCAGTTAAGCTGGAAATATGTTGAGACAGGAGGATGTTTTTTGGGCTTAAAACAAGCTAAAAAGCAAGGCTGGAAAACCCTCATGCTCTCATTTTTGGGGAGCTGTCATGGGGTTATTAATAAATAATAAATAACACAATAAATCCTGTGCTGACATCTTATTGGACATTTGTGCTTACATGTCTACATGTAAGTTCTCCATTCAATACGTAACCCACCTCGTTTCCTGCTTGTATAGCCTGCCATATGCACCCTTTACACAAACTGACAATCGCTGGTGCTGTAGCCTCACACGGACTCTCTACCTCTGTCCTCTAATTAATCAACCAAATCAGCCATCAAATAAGGTGCGAACTCCCAAATGTTAACCAGTCTTGTTTCCTCTGAGTTCATTCAGAGACTGTTTTTGTTTTGAAACAACATCACAGCAAAATGCCATGACACAGAGCAGTGCCGTCTCCCACTTCCTCAAAAAAAAGCATTGCTCGTCTTCCTCTGTGGCCTGTTTTATCTCATTTGCCATTTCGTTGAAGCTTTGTTTGGCCTGCTAGCTTCTAGATGCCGCTCTGGCTGATCTGTTCCACCAAGGTTCAACGTGTGTGCAGCCCGGATTAGAGGCTAACATAAAGTGTTCAGAACTTGGGTTATGTAGCACAATTTCTTTTATCAACATGCTTTATTTGAGGCTTTTAATTGGAGCAGATATGAAATGAAAAAATACAAAAGCATTAGCCAATAGGATATCGAGCATATGATCATGTGACTTGTGACCAGTTGTTGCAATAATCACATGAGAGGAAAGGGCACTGATCAAGTGGGACATACGCAACACTGTATTAGGTTCCTGAATTAGAGAATCTAAAGCACTATAAATAATTTTTTTATGTAAACGAGATCATTGTGAAAGCTTATTAATTAAGTGTTCCTCATCCATGCCTGTAAGGGATATTATTTTTAAATATAAAAATTTTAAATACTTCTCTTTCTCCTAAGAAAATTATCATTACCACTCCGTGGCTGTCGATGTGTCATTGAAGGGGATTTTGTTATAGAAATTCATTCATTTGGTGACTTTTGTTTTTCATTTAGATCTGTATAGTTCATGTCTTTGTTATAACATATGTTTTTTTTTATTTGTGTGTTTTTGTTTCATTGTAAAGGAAGCCAAGCTGCGCGAGCTGCTGGATAACAGCACGCTGTCGGGGAAGTTGGAGAGCAGGATGCTGACGGTTGTGAGTGGCACCGACATGGTGAATATCACCTACCTGAACTTCATGGCGTTCCAAGAGGAGATTGCGAAGGTAAAAAAAGAAAATCATGCATAGCAGCAGTAAACAAAGTAACTACTTTTTTATTGTACATAACCAGGACAACCAAAAACAACCACAGACAGGTGAAGTGAGTAATAACTTTGACCTGTGCAGTGGCATCTCCGGCATCTACAGTGGTGAGTGGGATATCTTAGCCAGTAACTGGGCAGTCAGGGTGAGGTTGTGTAGCCCTACCCATGTGCCTATACTCACCCATCATGTGGGCAACCAGGCATCATTCACCTGGAGAAAAAGAAGGCAGCAGGATGCACTATGTGAAGAATAGTACATCGTAATAATTGTATTAATGTAGGGTCTTTACCTTACAATATAAACTGTTTTGAGCCAACTGTTTTTGTTTTGTATTATTTAAATAAAATTGAATTGAATTGAAGGCAAGCTGCCAGAAACAGTGTGATGCTCTGGGTAATGTTTTCCTGGGATCCTTGGATTCATGTGGATGTTAATCTTAAACGTACCACATACCTAAACATTAGTGCAAACCAAGCTCGTGTCTGAATTGCAAAGGTACTCTCTGACGACATTAGAGTTTTTCATAGGGGCAATGAGTCGTGGAACACCGTAAAAAGTGCTTGGGAATGCTTTTAAGGAGCATGACGAGGCTTCCAAGATGTTAACTTTGCCTTCAGATTGCACAGATGTCAGTTCATTTAGACATCTGTGGGATGTGCTGGAAAAAAACTAGTCAGATCTGTGAATCTGCTGCTGATGAATTAGTGAATCTACACCTCGATGGGTCACAGCTGTTTAGGCTCTTTGATGGGGACTTGCTCTATAATATGCATGGGGTTTTAATTTTGTGCCTATTTTTTGTATTTGCTATTAAACTAAGCCATTAAAAGCAATAAATAATATTCTCAAAGAGTGAAAGCATTTCTCAATAGTTGTTTATTTTTAATTGATTTAGGAGGCTTTAGACGGAGGTACCATTTCTTTTTTTTAGGATCATGGTGAAAACCTGCATCATAAGTTCATCATCAAGTCATTTACCACTCTGGAAAATTATGAAAAATGATCAGCATACCTACTCAGTATGCATGAACTTCATTTATTCCTGACACATGGCAGCAGAAACTGAACACAAACTTCCAGCCTTCAGCAGTTATCAGCATCAAAGCACAAATGAGTTCACCGCCGCTCTCTTTCCTGACTCTAGGTGTGTGTGTGTGTGTGTGTTAATGTTGTGTGTGCATTTTATTTCCTGCAGGAATGGGCAGAAGAGCTTTTCAACCTGGCGTCCAACCTCTTGGTGCAGAACATGTCCAGAGAGGCGTGCCTCGAAAAAGCGTACGTCACCGGATGCATGCACACGCGGACACATGCGCACGCGCACATGCAAGCAGTCTCGAACAAAATGTAAATCTACAGTCCCCAAGATAGATATGAAAATCGGGTCTGCAAGCACTAGAAATGTCACTCGTAGCAAGAGTCACATTAGGGACCTGATGTATTTTACATGAACAAAAATGGTAAAATGTTATGTAAAAATCTTGCGAAACCATCATGTAGCATTTACACCTTCACCAAAGCACATTTGTGCTTACATTGTTCACACACTGCAGTCTACAACGCAGCCTGATTTTTCACACATCAACGGAGGAAGTAAGAACAGACGAAAGCAGAATTATCAAAACAGCTGGAAATATGTTTATACCAGTTTATAAAACACCCTGCATGCGTCAGTTGTCTTTTTATTGCTTCCCATATGTGAGTGTGCATTTGTTTGGTGCTGTAGTGTTTGTTTTGTGTTACAGTAGTGACATATAGTAGATTCCAGGCTGACTCGGTGAGCTGAGCTTTGGGTTGAATTGGGAAAAGAGAGGAAGAGAGGGCAAAAAACAGGAAGCCAGTATTTTGTCAGTTCCAGGGTATTACATAAATCACTGATTATCCTTATCAGTGGCTCTATGTCCATGACCGCTTTCATCATCCTTTGCCCTCGTGTCACCTCTGATTCCAAGTGAAGCTCACGCAGAGTGAGCGTAAATATGAACGCAAATCATTTTTTGCTGGACTCTGCTCGCCGACAACTCCCAGCTGTCTGCTGTTTATCAGTGAACAGAAGCCATTAACGTGCACCCCCGAGGAGCTAATTGACTTATGAGACAATAAAACTGGTCATCGACCACATAGTGCAGATAGAGTGGAATAGAACTGAATACAGCAGGTCTCGCGGTCACGTCGGTTGCTCGCAGCAGCAGTTCTTGTACACTCCTTGCTTACAAATAAGGCAATTCTTCGCCATACCGCTGCTGCAGCGCGAGGATGCTGCCTCCCTGAAGTGATGTTGATGTTTCTCCGCGTGTGGTTAATTCTCATCGCTGTCTCTTAAAGCAGTGATACTGATTTTGGGTGGTGGGTTTTCTGAGGAGCGGCATAGCTGGGCAGCGTTCTCATCAACAGGAAACTAAACAGAACCCAGCAGGTTTTTTAAATGACCACTTGCTGAAAGGTGTTGAAATCAGTACAATTATAATTGAATACTCTCCTTGGATAACACAGCCCTCAATTACCAAACATGGCAGGGTTAGAACTGCGTGTTTTACTCTGTGTTGCTCTGTGACTATGTCTGGAAACTTGGAGTTGAGCAGCGTCATCTAACTGCTTATGTCTTTGGCATCATCTAATGAAGAAATGAGTAAATGAGTAACGTCTAGGATTAGCTAGAGTGGGTACGTGAAGAAGAACAGAGAAAGTAGTGAGGTAAACAGAAAAGGAGACAGTGAGTAATCTGTTTCCCCCTCTCTCCAGTGTCATAATGAATAATACAAGCATCTCTGAGTCAGATGGGGGCATTGAAAAACACCTCTTCCCTTCCTTGTTTGGGAGCCTTTCAATCATTCTCTTTAAAAAGAAAGAAAGAGAAAATAAAGCCTCATGCAGTGCTACTGGCTAACTTTATCCCAACCAAAACTTTTGTTTACAGCTTTTAAAAAAGAAGAAAAAAAAAAAACAACTCCCCAAACTTTGATCCCAATTGACAATTAAAAGTCACCAGCCTATTAGCCTGAGGCAGTCGCCAAGTTCTGTCAAGTGGACACTGTAATGGATATTAATTATTAGCCAGCAGCCACTTAAAGCCCAGCCTACAATGATGGCTCCTGTTGCAGCCGAGCTATTTATAGGCCAGGTTACACGCTGCCTGTGCATTGCTGCTGCACTGCTCTGCCCTGCCAGCGTTCAAGACTTCCAGGGATTAGCCCACAGTTCTGACCTCCCGTGTAAACGCCGGCAGATATATCCGCAGTATGCAAAGAGAACTCCACTCATGCACAGTCAGCCACTTTAAGATATTTGGATACGTGCTTTTTATCTCTTTCCGATGCATTACGTACGAGTCTGCAAACCTGGTCATGGCAGACAGTCATTTATGTCAGTCACGCATGTAAGATCAAGCAAACAGCCCCCACACATACATTAGACCTGATGAAGAGTGTCACTCACACTGAATAAACTGCTATCACGAGCTGCTGCTGATGTGTGCTCTGTGCAATGCAGATACACCCGGCTGAAGCTGCAGCTAAACCCTGAGGGAAGAATCCCCGTCAAGAAGTAAGTCTGTGTGACTCATCCACCCCCCACCACACCCCTCCCCCATCCCCACAACGGCTCTGCTCTTTTCATCGGTGCATAGTTTCCTCTGCCTTTTTGCCTTCTCTCTAAGCGTGCAGATGCTTAAACCTACACTTTGTTTTTTGCATATTTATTAGAATATATTACCCATTCCATCTGTCATGACAATATTCATTCTTGTTCTCCTTATCACCACTTTTCATTTATCTCACGCTGGGCCCATTTCACCCATGTGATTTTTTTATTATTATTATTTTTTTAACTTTAGTCTGTGTCAGTTTGTGATTTATCTGAGAATTTCATTTTGTATATTTCAGTTTCAGTTTGATTTATCTGGAAGTTTGTCATCGCCTCATTGAAAATCCACCTCTCTCCATCTCCATTAGTCAAGTTGAGCTTTCAGGCAGGCGGGCAGCAGTGAACCTCCGTGATAACCTCCCTCAGAGCCGCGGAGGAAAGCAGTGGGTGTCAACAGAGAGAGACACTCCTTGCTGTTTAGGGAATTAACCTCCTAGCTAGGAAGACATGTCAGTTTGACTAATGTCAGCTTGATACTGCTCTTCCACTGAGCGTACAGTAAGTGCTGGTGGACCTGCGCAGGCATACCTCTGCAAGCAATTAAAACAGGCTATTCCGAACAGAACCAGACCTAAATGTCCTGCTGTGGCTGCAGTGACACTAGAGTCCACTGTAAATCACTTTTATTGTCTGTATACACCGGAATAAAACAGATGACAGAAGCTTGAAAACACAGATGTCTGTCGGCAGTGTTTTTCCAGAGTTAAATGAACCGAGACGCTGATGATGTGACGATGTGATGTGATTTGAGATCATTTTGCGTTATTTACATGCACACATCATAAAGAAACATTACATCTGCACGCCTTTTGTTTATTTATGCAAGAAAAAAGATGCTTCTGTTGAGACAGACTTTATAGCATTACAAGCACAATGACATGATAATAAAAATTATGACAGCAATGATGAAAATTGGTGTGATTTGCAAAATGACACCATTGCCGGGAAGCTTTCTTTCCTCATCTTTGTTGGGGCCTGTGTGGCATCGCATTCATGAAGAGTTGTCGCTTTTATGTACACAAGTAGCATTTGCCATGGAAAACTTTGCAATTCACTGTAAGCAGTATTAAAATCAAGCTATTTTCCATGTTTAAATGTGAATATTAAAAATATTAAAACTACAATATTTTATCTCAGTCCACCCATCTATCTATGAGAGCAAACATATTAGGAACAGATTTATGCTGCTGCATTATTGCACAGCTTCCTAATGCTCCAAATAAGCTGAATCAGTAGCTCTCCAACTATTTCAGCATAAACAGAAATTTACTGCGTAACCTTTATGAATGTAAAATTCATTGCAAGGCTGTTAGACTGCAGTATTTAAATCCTGATGTCCCATCTTCTACCCCTCCCTTATTATATTGCATTTCTTTTCCCACACAGGCATCATCTGAGTCTAATATTTGTCTTTAGTGTTGCATTCTGTCCGGCCTGTAGTTTCGCCCTTTTTATTTTTTTTCCGTTCCCTCCTAAGCTGTTGCTACAATATTACATTTTCACAGAATAATCTTAATATGTGTCAGTTAAATGCTGTGACGAATTCATCCGTTTGACACACAGCCTTTAAAGGAGTGAGAATTTCTCTCCGTGTGTGGCATTTTCTGTGATTACTCATAACAGCATGTTTTTTGTCTCCCTACAGTATCTTCAGGATGTTCTCGGCAGACAGGAAACGAGTGGAGACAGCGTTGGAAAGCTGTAACCTCCCTTCTGGCAGAGTGAGACTCCAAAATACTGAAGCTCTCTGTTTTTTTTCCAGTATTACTGTCGCCTCATATTTCCTCCGTCCCTGAACCGGCTTCTGTCTCCATCTCATCCTGTCTCTTTTATGTACAGTTGCCTTCATCTTTCCATCCATCCATTTCTGTTTTGACTATTCAGCTCATCTCTTAAAACACAAACTGATTGCGGCTGTGCTTATTCGTCTTATTTTCTGGATATCTGCATGAGTTCCAGCACAGAATGGATTTAGCCTGGGTTGTAATGCAACAAATAGACCCAGTGGGAGCAATAGAGATGACAAAAGCTGTTTTATCGCTACCTTTTTTTAGATGCCACTAGAGAGACGCTGCACCCTAATGCATAGAGGTGCAAACAGTGCTCTGTATTCAAACAGTAGCAAACAATTTTCATCCCTAGAAGTGGGAAACTGCTGTTCGGTGCTGCTCTGAACGCACACTTGATATGTGTCTAGTAAGGCAAACACACTGTAAAGCTAATTGGAATTGGGTCAGGTCACTTTCAGATGTGACTGAACTCATATAACGTGTTTACATTTAAATTACTCACTGAAAAGGTTATATCTTAGGTTAAGTCTGTAGTGAAATGAAATGCATTTTGGATATTCAGCATTTTCAATTGGTTAAAATCAGAATATATAACATACCTGACGCAAAGCACAGGTGTTCTGTGTGCATACAAGTGGGCTTCAGTTTCTTTTTCTGCAGTTTTCTTATCAAATCCCAGAAACACTGATTCCCAGTAAATGGTAAATGGCCTGTATTTGTATAGCGCTTTACTAGTCCCTAAGGACCCCAAAGCGCTTTATACTACATCCAGTCATCCACCCATTCACACACACATTCACACACTGGTGATGGAAAGCCTCATTTGTAGCCTCAGCCACCCTGGGGCGCACTGACAGAGGTGAGGCTGCCGAACACTGGCACCACCGGGCCCTCTGACCACCACCAGTAGGCAAAGGGTGAAGTGTCTCGCCCAAGGACACAACGACTGAGGCTGTCGGAGCCGGGGCTCGAACCGGCAACCTTCCGATTACAAGAAGAACTGCCAGTAATATAAAATGTATTCAAAACGCAATAAAAGAACCTTTGACCATGTACAATAAGATCTGATGGCACCCTGATTTTAAATGTAATCTCAGCTGATTATAGCTACTTATTATTTTTAATCTGATTAGCGAATTGTGGCCAACTCTGGCTACAATCAATGGCTTCTGAACACAAATCGAATTAATATATATATAAATAAATAAATATACACACACGGGAATACAAACACACACCCACAGTCAGAACAAGCTATACATAATTAGCATAGGGAGAGAGAGCAGGAGGTAAAAACCGATTGCTGTATGAAGGTCTGCTGGGATTTGCTGTTATTCCATTGCACAAGTAATTACAGCTAAATGGTATTGCGGTTAATCCCTCAAACGCACACACTCCCAGGCAAAAGCACATACACAGCCCAGCTCGCACCAATGTCTTTTGAATGACTCACTGAGTCTCAACAGGGCTTGACCTGCATCCCCCCTACTTCTGTGCATCCTTCCTCACCTCCCTCCTTCCAGGTCTTTTCTAAGACTGTGTGGTTCTGCTCTGTTTCTTGCTGGCAAAATGCTGTTCCCTGCTGCTGAGCACGCTGTGTCTTTATCACACCCGTTTGCCTCTGATAGCTCTATAAGAAGCCCTGACGCTAAGTGCAAATTGCAGGCAGTCATTTGCTGTTTGTTATTTGCATCTCTGCAATTGCTTCAAGAGGGCCAACTATAAGACGGCAGATGGAATGACAGATCTGTGTTTCTTTTAGTCACATTAGTGGGTTAGTGGATAGATGTCTTTACCTCAGCAGTACTCTAACTAGGAAGTCTGCACAACATGAAATTTCTTAGTATGCAGGGAAAGTTTAATAATAAGTAAGTACATTTAAAACCAAAGTTCTTTACGCCAAAATAAAATAGAATAAACAGGTTCCTAAAAAGGTATGGCTATGGCTCACAGTGTTTACATCAAATAAACCAGTAGCTACCAATCCACCAGTCACAGTTCCAGAAATCATCAGTTTCCAAAGGCTTGAAAATATATGTTTTAGTTTTATTTATCTGTGAAACTTCTAATGTGATTATCCCAAAGTTAGCCTGTATTTTAATAATAAACAGAGTTAAGGAGCCCAGGTTATTCTTCGACCTCTCAGTTAATATCTGAGAGCCAAACAATGTGGCATCAGTTTCTTCTATCCAAAATTCACTCATTGAGCCTTCTTGTGGCACAGTGATATCCGAGATCCAAGTGTAAATACAGTTAAATCATCAAGAGATTCTATCTTGTGAATAATTTGACGTAGCAGGAGCATGTGCAAAGCATAAAGAACAGACCCCTCTGGAGGTCCAGATTTTATAATAGCTAATGCAGAAGAGTATTTTCCAATGTTAAGTGTTTAATATAGGATTTAAACCAGTTAAGAGTCAAACCCTTAACTTCTCCACAGTGCTCGAAGTACTCCATGCGTAACTCAAGGTCGACAGTGTCAAAAGCAGCACACGACTCCACATAACTAAGACAGAACAACCAGAATCTGCAGAATATCAGAATATTGTTTGTTACTTTCAAAAACGCAGACTCAGTTCTGTGAAAGGTCTCATAAACATTGTTCTCGTGTAGGAAGGATGACAAATAAACAAACCTTTCTTAAATTTTAGTTATAGATGCAGTTTTGATATAGTATCAATAACACTCAGAAGATCCACTTCCAAATTTTTATCCTTTAAGTAGGACTTGACTACTGCAAGCTTAAAAGCTTGCATTTATAATTGTCAGGACATCACGACCTGATGTAAAACATATTTCCTCGTCAAACCACGATGGCAGAACAGAAGGGGAACATGTCATGTGAGAAACCAAGTCTGACATCAGAGACGCAAATAACCAGATGATAAGCAACAGAGTTAGCTCCAGAAATTAGAATATTTGCTCCAATGTGTCCAACCTTACTCTGAAAGAGGTCCTTAAAAAGGAAATACTACTATATATATTTTTCTTAAGCAACAGTTACAAGGGATTTGATTAATTTTCAAAACGTGTAGAGCTAAGCTAAATTGGCTAAACTAAATAATTCTGTTTATCCGAAGATTATACAAATATAAAATTCACTTTACTGCGCACATACTCATTACTTTACATAGATATACACAAGTAAGCGTCTCATAGATAAAGAAGATGCTACATGAAAGATAGCCTTTACAAAAAGGCTACGTTAGGATCAGTGCATTAAACTGAAAATAGAGTTAAACACATTTTATTTAACTAATAAAAACACAGTTTTGTTGCACTGAGGCATGCAAGAAAAGTCTTCTCCAGAGCACCTGTCACTGTGGAAAAAGTATCTTTTATCTATCAGCTTGAACATTTTAAATCCACTTTTTTCTTTTGCCCTTCCACAGTACGTCCGAACACTACTGCCTGCAATTTATTCACCTATCTTACTTTTGTCTGCTGCAGAATGACTCCATTCCCCAGGAGGACTTCACTCCAGAGGTCTATAGCATGTTCCTGAGCAACATCTGCCCTCGGCCTGAGCTGGACCACATCTTCTCTGAAGTGTAAGTACTGTGTTTCTCTCTGCTCTCTCTGTGTGGTAATAATAACCTTTTCCACCTCCAAAGAATACGGGAATTCCCAGTTTAAAATGTCCAAAAAATCACAATTGATACATTTTTTTCCCAAATCATCTGTTGCTTTTTTCATACTTGTAGCCTCGATAGGAAAATTTGGTTTCCCAGGTTCAAGCCAGATCTTTTTATCCATTTATAAGACGTTAATTAGCCCAGGAAAGTGTGTTCTAATGTCCCTGGTTGTGACGTCTCGAGCCTAGCTGGTTTGGCCTCTCGTGCTGCAGAAGCAGAACTGCCCTTTGGCCCAGAGAGACTGAGACCATCAGCCGAGGAAGCACGCCAGCTCGACCGACGCTACTCCAAGTCATAAATCTGTATTTTAATCACAGTTAAGTGAGGTAGCAGGAGAGCCAGGAGGATGTGGAGAGGATAATTTAGTCGAACAGGCTTGGATGCAAAAGGCGTTTTTAATGAATTCTCATAATTTACTCAAAACACAACATTTAATCCTGTTGTTTTGCATGTCTGCCGCTCTGCCTCGCCGCATCTTTTTGCGTCTTAATTACAGCTCCTCCCCTCCATCGTTTTTTCCTTGTTTCATTTCCCCATGTGCTATTTTTTAATCCCGTCCTTGCACCCACACCTTGCTTAGCAGCCCTTTAAGATGTTTTGTCTAATTTTTTCTAATTTCTGCCCCATTCCTTTCTCTGCTCAGGGGAGCCAAGAGTCGACCATACCTCACAGTGGAGCAGATGACAGATTTCATTAACAGTAAACAGCGAGACCCTCGCCTGAACGAGATACTCTACCCTCCTCTCAAACCAGAACAGGTCCAGCTGCTGGTTGACAAATATGAACCCAATGCTTTGCTGGCACAGAAAGGTCAGTGGCTCAAATTTCTGTCAATACAATCCCAGGCACACTGACAAGCTTATGTGTACACAGACATGCACGTAACACCTTTTAGTACAGATCGACTTCATGATAGTATGCAAGTGATTTATAGTAAAAACTATCGGAAAAACACCGGTACATTATGCCCGTTGTGTGTTTTTACACTGTCCTCCTCCACCAACCCTGCACTCCAGCCGCTGCCACCAATAAATTTGTCAGGGGTGTTGCCATAGAGACTGCTGGATGGTGTCCAAAGCTTTTGCAAGTGAGGGGACATAGTGGGGTGCCGAGGAGTCTGTAAATACCAAACACTCACAGTCAAACACACGTCACCGCCATCCAAAATGTTCCACCTGTTCCCAACTTGTGCTAAAGTATTGCAGTTGCAATACTCAGAGAATACAGAGTATTGCAGTCCTTGGGATGAATTTTCTGGGATGTCCACTCCTGGGAGGAGTGTGGCATTGAGTTAACACATATTTGAATGCTCCAGACCAGCAAAGTGCCAAAACCTTCCCACCTCCTGACGATCAGTTATTCAAGTGCTATTTACCCTTTTAATTTCACTGGAAGCAGTTTTTCCCAGACTCTGGCAAAGGCTTTCTTCTTCACATGTCTTTATCTGTCTGTGTAATATAATGCAAGGCTTTGTACCTAAAATTGAAAGGGCAATAAATAGTTTGCCTGGTTCCTTTCAAAGGATTAAACTGCAGTAAATCTAAAACGTATAAACCTACAGTTCATTTTTTAGTTTTATGTGCAGGACTTCAGCACCATTTCTTGATCTGCTATCATTTCACTTTATTATGTGTGTTGGCTTCCTAATTGCTGATTTGTTTAATGTGACCTATATGTTGTCTAAGCGGTAACATGTTGTTGTTGTTGTTGTTTAAACGCACTCGTCTTTTTTTCATTCCCATGTTTAAATTGTATATAGATGTCAACCATCTTAATTAATAGAAGGACTTTAGTTTTAATATTTAGAGTATTAGGAGTGATACAGAATAATATATAAAGAAATGAGATGGATGCGTCTTGGTGAGCCAGCACTCCTGGACATGCTGTGCTTTCATGATGTCTCAAGTGTCAGTAGACCCAGAGCTGCCAGTACTGGAAAACATCACACTCCAGATATCAGGCAGCAAGGTCTTATATTTGCCAATTCAAATTTTATCTGTGCTAGAAAAGCATCTTACACAACTGTGCCAAAATGGATGAGTTATCGTACACCGTGTACGGTTTATTATGAGCAAAATGCTGGGTTGATTTTTCTCCCCATAGTGTCAAACCAATCGCTGCCTTTGAATATGCCATCTATAGCTGTATTTAGATTACTTACTCTATATGTTTACTTTTTGTTAGTATATTTTCTCCTTCAGGGCTTAAAACATCAAAAACTGTTAAAGCTGGGAAGTCATCAATGCACCCGATTTCTTAGCTACATATTCAAGGAGGGTTGTGGTGGAGAAGGAGTTGGAATACAGATTGATAATTCATCACAGAGCTTCCAGGAGTCGGATACTATGAACCTAATTCTTATCTTCTTTTTTCAGGTTTGTCTTTTGGTGTGTTAGTGTAGTGGTTAACACGTTTGCCTATCTATATGTAAAAACAAAATGCACTTGCAGTTAAAGTTAACAGTATGTCACGCGACTTCTACCTCAAATCAAACTGTGATAAGCTCAGCTGCGACATAAATTCAAATTTTACTAAAGGATTGAGTGACGGTTTCGACAGAAGTATCGGTGGCTTGAATGGTTACCTCGATGTAGTCGCTGAGAGTAAGTAGTAAGCTGAAAAAAGATAAGAAAGCAGTCAAGTGAACATAACAGGTGGTTTTTATGAAGGGGTCCATATGGCAGAGCAGTAGAATACAGCATTTTCCCATATAAAGCTGCTTATTAATACTTTTTGTCATTATGCTGGAGATCTGGAGGATTAAATAATGCTTTTGTGTCAGGAATTCAAAAAAATGTCTTTGGTGCAAGAAGAGAATGATTATCTAAACATTTTATGGAAACTATACTAAACTAGAAGCTTTGTCTTTTTAATGATCTCCCCTGAATAAAGTGCCTACTTTACTCTGTTTGCACATGTGACCGAATAAATCACGGGTCCTTAAATTAGTTAAAAGTCATTTTTTAAAGCACACATATCCATCCTGACTGCCTAATGTTTGACTCTGATCACAGCCATGTGCTCATACTGTGATGTTGTGTGTTCATCCTGTCCCAGGCTCTCTGGAAGCATGCCCTTCCCTGTCCCAGTGACAGATTTCCCCACGTGAAGTATTTATCTAGCCGGAGGAAGTGCTGCCATCTGCTCTGCAGAGGGGTCCAGAGCTCCACATGCAACCTTCACACACACACATACACATAAACATAGTTTCTCCTCTTTCAAGGACACTCATGTTCGTAAAAACATACGTGGATTTTAGGTGGCATAAAATTTTTAGATACGCAGTCTGTGTTTAGCTCGGGGTAAAAAGCCCCCCTGTTGATGGATAAACAGAAAACCATATGCTTTAACTAAATGTGCTCCAGAAATGTGTGTATTAATGATGGTGAAGAGTTTTAGTCTTTATTAAACGTTTTAATGTTTCACTTTCTCCATTTGTGACTTGGAGATTTTGTTTATTTTTTTTATTTTATACCTCTCATTCATGTCTTCACTGCTGAATCACTTTCTGTGACTGTTTCAGTCTGTGCTCTCTCAGATGTTATGACATCGTTTGAAGGAAGATGAATGAAATACAAAATGAAACGAGACACTTGGAGAATTTTTCATAATTCAAGAGTGGATAGTTGGCTTATTCACTTGAATGGTAGAGAGGAAGCTCTCTAGTCTTACGGGTGAAATTCAGAATCCATCTCTGTCCAATTTCCTCTCCTCTCAGTATGAGCCGTTATTGTGACCGGTAGCTAAAGTTTTACTTGGCTCAAATCTTCCTGTAGAATTTCTTCTCAGGTTTCACCTTGAGAGTAGCACTTGTATGTTCCCACTCTGGTTCGGCTGCATTACAATCCCAGCCGTGTCAACACAATTTTTCCGTGTTTGACCTACAAATGTCTTGAGAGATGGGGAAACTCTTTGTCTGCACGGAATGTGTGATACAAAGGTTAGACCTCAGCCAGGCGAAGGGAGATCCTGGGAGTCAGCAGGGAGTAAGACGCTGAGTGCGACAGAGCTCAGATGTCACAGACAGCAGCCAGCGTTAATTAGTCCAGCAACTCTGCAGAGGGCGGCACCGCATTAATTAGCATAAAGTGGCCAGAGGGACCTGCTGCACCCGTCAAGCTTGCATCACTTAGCATATTTAGCGTAATTTCAAGTAAGTGTGTGTGTATGTGTGTGTGTGTGTGTGTAGGCAGGTGGAGGAAGTATTTTGCTTTGAGCAGCAACTATATGTTCAAAATTTAATTCATGAAGGCAAGGTGTTTGATGTGTATGGTAATGTGTATGGAAATATGATCTCGTGTGGATGGAGATGTGGAGCTTTTCATCAACCGCTTATTACTTATTTATTCAGTGTTATTCACTTTCTCAAGCACATTCAGTGAAGATTAGCTGAGTGATGGCAGCCAACAGGCAAAGCTTATCATGAGTGACCGTGACTACCAATCAACAACGAGGAAGGAACAGCTCCATGGGCAGCTTAGCTTCATCAGATCACTGTATTACTTAGTGATAATAGCAATATTAGCCGAAGCTTGTGGAGCCTGAAATGGAGAAAAGTACATTTATATGTTAATCTACCTGCTGAGCAAAGGGAGACTTGAATTTTAATAATTAGAAGCATGTACTGTAACACAGTATTTTACTAGAGTTAAATGTAGGAAAACATTGAGGGACAGCCCTTAAAGGAAACAACGAGTTTCCCTAAATGAAACGAAAGAAAGTCATTTACCATCAGTCACACACCCACTGTAATGCTTTAACCTCCTAGGACCTGGCGCTCACATATGTGGACATCACATTTTAGGTTGTCTAGACCAAAATACCAAATTTTGCTCTACAAGGGCTTGTTATCCACTTAAGAGGACATTATACTGCCACTGTTCTATCGAAATTTAAAGCAGGTTTAAAAAATTACGTAATTCTCTGTTTTTACATTCATCAGGTCCCAATCAGCCCAAATAGCAAAGAGAAATTAAAAATGCATGCCATGAAACAGTTCGGGTCTTAGGAGGTTAAAGGTGGAGAACAATGCAGGCACATGTTTACAGAAAACAAAAGTTGCTTTTATTTTATTAAAGTCACAGGTGAACGGGGATGCCAGTCCATTCACCTCCATTTGAAATGTGGAAATAATGTTTTTATAAAAAGTGACTGACAAAAACACGCAAATGTTCTCATAGCCATGTTCAGTTATGTTGCAGTTTGTTAAAAAATTCATGTAAGGCATTGCAAAGGGTGGGGAAAAAAATCTGTGACACATATGCCACCATATGCCACGCACCATATTTTAGCTTGTGCAGTTAAAAGGATAAGGCATTCTTAATGTTTAACACGGTGACAAATCTCATTAAGAAAATTAAATTCCAACATTATGTTACTCCGTCTGCCAGTACTTTACATCTTCCTTACCCTGTCTTTGGCACTCAGCCCCTTTGCCCATTAATTTCCACTGGAAAAACGAGACAATTCTGTGATTTAACTTTTAAATAAATTTCTAAAACTTTAGGCATCTGCAAATTTTCTTCAAATCAGAATAACTGCAAGGTTTGGCAGATAGCTCTATACTGAGTCAGATGACTCAAGAAAAAGCAGATAAGATGATCACTGCAGTGAACAGTGAAGCACGTGGAACAGCACAGCTTTTGGAGTGTTTTCACACCTGCACTTTTTAGTTTACTTCTACTCTGATATTTTCCCTCCTTGTTGCGGTTCGTTTGTGCAGATGTGAACAAGGTAATCTGAGTTATTGGATCCCAAACTGCTTTGGAGTTTGTTTGGAATTGGACTGAGGCCGAGGAATCCAGAGCGGTTCATTTGTGGTGAAAACTCAATCGACCCAACCGCCAGGTGTACGCTTCGAGTGTGACCTAAACACCTTCCTGTAGCCTGGTGTGCTTTCTATTCTGCGATCCAGCAGAGCAGCACAGATGCGCAGAGAGTTTCTCTGTTATCGACTTGTCCAGAACACCTTTCTGGACAAGTTTACTTTTGTTCCTAACGCTCCAGACTCATCTGACTAATAACTGAAGTGAGCGTTCTCATGTGGTTTGCAGTGACGCAGTTGAGTTCACCTGGAGTTTACTTGTTTTTTCTGTGTGAAAAGAAACCAAACTACAGGAAAAAGACACAAGTCTACAAACTCATCAACTGATTTGGACCAAAGTAAATAAACTTTAGGTGTGAAAATGAACAATGTACAGAATAATCTGTATCAAGCTTTAAATACACAGTTAGCAAATCAGCTCATTGTTGTTTTGTAGTCTTTTTTGTGGAAATTGTTGCCATCTGGAAAAACAGAGAACATCACAATACAATTAGATTTGGACGCTTGAACCAAAAAAAATGCTTTCACGCTTAGGATGCTGACTGCTGTTGTGTTCATGCAGGTCAGATCTCAGCAGAAGGCTTCACCAGGTACCTGAATGCAGAAGAGAACAGCATCATTCCTCCTGAGAAGCTGGACCAGAGTGAAGACATGACCCTTCCCCTCTCTCACTATTTCATCAACTCCTCACACAACACATACCTCACAGGTAAGCACGTACACACGTTAAAACTTCTTCTATCGGTCTGCTTGCGCAATCACGTTCAACTTGATTTTCCTCCTGACTAATTGCACAGGGAGATCCTTTATTCTCCCATAAATGAAAAGATCAGTCGTTCATTTAGAAATACAATTATGGTTGAAGTGAATACACTCAACTTTATACCTCGTGGGTCAGTCAATCAAATGCACCCTTGCATATCAGGCTCCCTTTCTTGTGTTACTTCTCAAGAGGTTATCCAATCAAGTCATGCCATGATACTTGATTTTGATATTCATGAGTTAAATATTTCTTTGGACTGGTAGTCAAAGTAACTCCCTGCGGTGCACAAGCATGGCTGGCACAATAGAGAGGCCATTTTCTCTTCAATGGATATTAGAATTCATCTATTCAAATCTATTCTGGGGGGAACTGAAGAGCATTGAATCTTTGAAGTGGATCAGATTTCGGCAGCGATTGGAAAAAATTGAATTTTCTGTAATAGCCCAGCCTCATAGCTGGTGGAATGAAGAAATGAGAAAAACAAACACGAGGTCTTTTAATTTTCTCCTCACAAACTGTGTTTTTCTTTAGGTATTTTCATAGTGACTCATACTATGCTATTCTAATAGGGAGCAGAAGCGTGTTGCAATGTGGAGTCTATTTCTGTCCATGAGGCATTTGTGTTTCACAACTTCACACACAAAAAGAGCCATGCAGAATCATTAGTTTGATAACAGGACAAGCATTTCATGTTATTGACCCATCGTAAATTACATTTTAAAATTAAAGTAATTGTGAAGAAATATTTCACCTCATGGAGTTGCTTAAAGATGTCAATTAAACAAGTTTTTGAGAGAAAAAATGAGAAAAGAGTGAAGTAAATGAATGGCATCACACCAAGTGAGAACATAGCTGCCTCTCACTTTAACACACTTCCACTTATTTTGTGGAAACATGCTGCTAATGTGAAGAGATAATTGCTTCGCTAATGGTGACAAGGTGATGAGATTTGCCTGCTTCAGATAACGACAGTTGTATTGTTTTTACTGCATGTGACGAACAATACAGTTAATGAGCTCTTGAAAAGTGGGAGGATGTGCTTTTGTGGGCATCCTGTTTCTTTTTGGATCAACTTAGCCGATACCTGTAAGAGCTGTTTTTTGTGTTCGTGTGTTCGGTGCAGCCGGCCAGCTCGCAGGCAACTCTTCGGTCGAGATGTACAAACAGGTCCTCCTTTCTGGGTGCCGCTGCATTGAACTGGACTGTTGGAAGGGTCGCACCACAGAAGAAGAGCCTGTTATCACCCATGGCTTCACCATGACAACTGAAATCTCCTTCAAGGTAACACAAGGAGAGATGGTGATGGTGATATAGGGGAGGGCTTGGTTGGGGGTTGGGAAGCAAAGTGAACGTTTTCACAGAAGGGTATTCTGCTCAACAGATCATTCACCCACTGCTACTAACCCAACTGTTAGGGTTAATTTAACAATGCTGTGTTATTAAATTTAAATTTAGAATTAAATAACAACAGAACACAGTGTGTTGTTAAATTTGGTTTATCCGTTACTAAATCAGGTTTAAAAATATCTAAAGAGAAGAACACTGAAAAGCTTGTGAATTCAAAAAAATGCATAAATTCACATATTCTAGATGCAGGATTTCTCCACATTTTATCTTTAAAAAATTCTCAAAGAGTTCTTTCAGGCCAGCTGAATATGCTGTTAGCCATGTAAACGTACTCAGTTTTACGACAAAATGCAGAAGCTTTAACAGAAAAAAAGAATATTGTACACACTGGGGAGCGATCGTGGATCGTGGCGATCGTGGATCAAGAGTTGGGTGGTCGTCTTGTAATCGGAAGGTTGCTGTCTCGGTCGTTGGACAAGACACTTCACCCATTGCCTACTGGTGGTGGTCAGAGGGCCCGGTGGCGCCTGTGTCCGGCAGCCTCGCCTCTGTCAGTGTGCCCCAGGGCAGCTGTGGCTCCAATGCAGCTTGCCATCACCAGTGTGTGAATGGGTGGATGACTGGATGTGTAAAGCGCTTTGGGGTCCTTAGGGACTAGTAAAGCGCTATACAAGTACAGGCCATTTACCATTTCTCTGTGTTATTTCATCTTCCAATAAACGGATCCATTGTCATAAACTCAGAATTAATCTAATCTGGTTTGTGAAAGCCACCACGTTGTCCCGCCATCATAAAGACAGTGGCCAAAATAGACAGACCGGCCACATACTGTACGTGGCACGCCAAAGGCAGAGAAGAAGAGAACCCACAGGCATTCACATGCCGTGGCTTGATTCAAAATATGAACATCATACCTATAATTTATCATCTGAAAAGGGGTCCCTATAACCAAACAAGTGAAAGGACAACAGACCAGTGTTCTGAGAAACCGTCCTACTTTGGCAAGTTATCCTACCCATATGATTATTTGACGGTGACTTCTGACCAACTCTAACCCTAACCATAACCATTAGAAAAATTTACAATAGCTGAAGGACGGTTTCCGAGCTAGGATGGATTCCCAGAACACCAACGTCTGGAAAAAAGTCACCTTCTCCCTCCTCACTTCACGCCTCATCTCCTGAGCAGAAGTCAGAGCTCTAACACACAAAAATGTTCATATATATGGGCCATGGGTCCCATTCACAGAGAGTTGGGGAATGGCTGCAATCACAGCATTGTAAGATGATGAAAGATGGACCCTTAGCCCCCCTCCTCGCTTCACAGATGGTATTGCCCTTTTCACGTAAATGGCCTCCTTGACTCCCCACTCAAACCAGCGTTCCTGTCCAGGATGTGTACATCCTCATCACTGAAAGAGTGTCCACTGGCCTGTAGATGTAAATAGATAGCACACTGATTCTGTGATACTGGATGTGTCTGTCCACTTTTTCCCCACAATTTCCTCCCACACAGAGATGGGGGATTCATCCAGCCTGCATTTTCTAATAAAAATTTCAATAACTTATCCCTCAGGGATGCAATACAGTATATTGATGTGTCAATATTTTGTACGTACTTAAGGAGGATTTCAGTCTTTATTGATCTGGTGACACATGTGGTCACTGGTGTCAAATAAACTGAATTATTTTAATAAAAAGAACCCATCTGAGGATTTGGAGGCGTGCAACCATGTGTCTACAGCTCTTAATCTAGGAGCTAACTGTGGTTCTTTCTTGTTCTGCTACTCTTTTGCAGACCTTAAAAATGGTCGACTGACAAAAAATGGATAAATACTTGCAAAATAAAAATGCAGACACACTTCTAAGTGTGATCATGGTCAAAACTAACAAACAATGTTCCCTGGGAAATGCTGTACTAAGGGGAGTGAAGAGAAGAGTTTACAAACTGTTTGATTTAATTCATTTAATTGATTTCCCTTTTCTTTGATTGACATCAGGGCAATAGTAAACCTCACCACAACTATATATATTTAAAAAACACATTTCAACAGACAAGTATAGACTGAAGAAGAGATAGAAAAAGCAAAAAGTGGGGCGTGCAAGGAGCAGATGGCAAATCGTAAGAAACAGGGATGCGCTGAATAACCCTAGAAAGAGAAGCACCGAGGGGCAATTAACTGACGACGAGATGCTTTCATAGGAGGAGAAGGGCATGAAAATTTAAGGGCAGAGTAGTGTCAAGACAAAAGAAGAAAGAAATGGGTGAACTGATTGATGGAGGAAATTTAGATCTAATGAAAGTAACAGAAGAAGCAGAACAAGCCTAATGCAATTAGTCTGAGAGTGAAATGCAAAAAGAGAAGAGTTGTAAAAGATGGAAGACAGCTACAGATTGAAGGGGTTGAGTTACAGACAAAGATTTTTATTGGAGGAAATGAAGGCTTTTACTGAACTGCCACTATTGTTAATGATGGTGTAATTGACTCAGACAATGAGTGGCTTAGAAATCTAATATCGGATGTTGAACTGTCTTCAGCAGAGTTGGGGAATGATTCAACAATATCGCTCAGCTCACATTTATTTAAATACCTGCAATCGATGACCTACTGTATGGGATTTTTGTTCACATTGTTGTATTCAGGTTCATAGACAAAACAATGTCACTGTAGTTAATGACTTCAAAAGGTTTCGATATTTCTTTTAAGGGCATTTTAGTAATTCTTGGAAACCAGTAGCAAACTCCTGTGTTTTCATTATGCATGACATTAATTAGATAATGATCCAACACTGAGCCTATGTTGTAATTTACAGGTATATTTTGTATTCTTTGTGTTTGGGTATTTAGGAGGTAATTGAAGCTATAGCAGAGTGTGCCTTCAAGACCTCGCCTTTCCCCATCATCCTGTCCTTTGAGAATCACGTGGACTCGTAAGTTAACAGGACATTTTTTACCTCTAGTTGTGCCAGAATTATCTTTACATATGCGCTGCCTATGTTGATTCAACATGTGACATGTTGCACTTTCTGTTCTTTGACTCGTGCTCAAAGAACACAATGGCAGCCTGATGTTTTGCTATCTCAGTCATTTGGCTATGTGGTCAACGTGAGTCGTCAGTGGCAAGTTTCTTAATGAACCGCTTGATGTTTGGGTATTAGTCTTGCACTGGTGTTATGGGTGCTGGAAGCAGTCAAAATAGAAATCTAAAGATACGTGTAAGCAGTTTCTCAGGTATACCCAGATACATCATTGTAACAAAATGTTATATACTGTGTCCTAGGGCTGTTTGATATAACAATATATATCGGATGACGATATAAAAACATCTATCGTTTCATTTTACGCTATCGTTTGTTTCGTGGTGTCGCAAAATAAACT